TTAAATAAGTATCTTTGATCACTTGTACTAAGTTACTTAAGTAGTAAAGGTACCCTATTTGTGCCAACCACAGACTGGCTCCAATTGCATGAACACACACTGTCTGTTATCTGCCGTTTTAAAAGCAGAGGAAACTAATGAGGTGATACTGAGATGATACCACCTTATCTTTGTCCTAGGTAGACAGCAAGCCTGTTACTGAGAGTCTTGTAACAGTGACCTGGAATACTCTCTCCCTCCAGAATATGCTTAGCCTCAGCTTCTCTTCAGCACAAGGTTGACCTTGCATTCTCCACAGCCAGGTGCTTCACTGTGGCTTTAACGGGCTGCATCCTTATTACGATTTCCAGACCATTAGACCCAGTAAATCTTTATAGCCAACAAATGCATCATGGAGAGCAAAAAAAAACAGCCAGATGGATTGAAGACAAAAAAAAATACAATACAATCACTCTTTCAGCAACTTGGAACCTGCTTTTCCTTGGCTTAATGGTTAATTGTCATGTATTGAGTAAAACAAATAGTGGAGGGAAAGAAAGCCAGGTTTAGTCTTAAGCTGGATCTCAGAGAGACAATAGTGTTGTGGGCTGTGGCCATGGAGAAGAAAAAGAGCCAGCATTCTTGCACCCAATCACTGACTAGTAATTCCTGCCAGAAAGTGCTTTGACGCCAAGAAAGTCTAAGAGTTGCTGTGCTCCCTTGGTCGAGTATCTCATCAACATTCATAGGCTATGCTCATAAATGAAGGGCAACTTGGACATGATCCTGGATGATGGCAGTCTTATAGAATCATAACTTTAGATCAGGAGATAATGTAGTTTGGGGGAGAAAGGAAATCGAGGAAGAGAAACCTTCAATAATTTGCGCAGGAATCCATGCAACATGCACTACACCTCCTCATGTTGAGAAAGTTTCAGCAGAGATGCAAACCAAAACAAATTGCAGAATGTATGACTATGGAGCAATGCAGACAATTCAAGGTCAGAGCAGGCCAATTTCAGTTAAAGAGTGAGAGTAACAGACCCTTATGCCTTAGCTACAGCTGAGTGCAGCTTATAAAATAACTGTAGTCTTGAGTAATTCCACAAAAGTAAGTGAAAGCCCCCCAAAAATGGAGAAATGGGTGAAGGTCGTTGGCTGTCTGAATACAATAGAACTGCAATGATTTAATAAAATACATTGCCAAGAAAAATATTCAGCATTCAGTGGTTTAAATTGCTAAAGGTTACAGTACCTTATTTATGGGTCTACAGTATTAAGTACAATTTTTTTTACATTTATAAAATGAACCCATTCTACGTAACCATTCTATTGTTGAGCAGATCAATAACTCAGTATTTACAAATGGTTATATTGAGTTAAAAAGTGCAGTAAACACATCATGGTTTGTTCCAGTGAACTCCCTGCCCTGCAGCATGTGAAATCGGATAGGAAGCCTCGACTATCTCAATGTTGCTATGACTTGTCCTGGGGAAGCCTCCAATAAGGGGGTCAAACAGAGTTCAGTGAACTGACAAATCAACAATATCAGCTTTTCCAAGGTGCTCCTTTCACTTATCTCCAATCCCTGCTAGTTATTAAACTGATGGCTTATACTAAGTAAATAAAAAAAACTTTTCCCCTGCCAAATGACCCAGACAAGGGCCCATGCGCAAGATTCTGTCGACAAACCTCTCTGCTAAGTTGATTTAGTCTGTTGTCCTGCGACAAATGCTGCTAGCAGTTCAAAAGTTCAGATGAACCATGAACTTTACCATTTCACAGAAGACTGTTCCACAAATACAACCAAAAGGAAAAAGTGGTTAACGTCCCCAAAGCACAAATCCAAGCATGGCTGTGTTGAAGTAACTTTGTCCCTCCTTCCTTGCCCCTCATATGGGGTGGGGAAGTGGGGGGGGGAGAAAAGAGAAGAGAAATGGAAAGGGAAAGATAGTCGTGAACTAATATGGTAAAGAGATTTACTTTTAAGACCTTATAAGGAGTCAATACAGGTTTTTAGTGCTTCTGGCCAAATACTTAGTGATGATGAGCCATTACTTTGGAAAGTAAATCTACTAGAGTTATTCAGGAAAAAAAAGAAAATTCTAAGAGGATTTGTATTCCTGGTCATGTCTTTTGGTCTCTGTGGTGGCATTCCGCCTGGTACGGAACTTAGTGGAAAAATCAAAACAAATGGGTCATGACTTTCAGTATTTGTTTAAAGCTGATGTACATGTCATCTTGTGATGTGGCCTTGGACCCAGCCATGCAAAACAGTACAAAGCATAATTAAGCTGGGAATGAAAACAAACATATGTCCCCTACTCCTTTAACTTTATGTGCTAACAAGGAAATTACTCATCCAGATTTTTACAGGAACATATAAAAACACACATAGCACACGTTCTGACATCTCACAATTGTTGAGACAGGCAATGTCAGTGAGCGAGTTGGGGGTGGGGATCGGGGAAGAAAGGAGGAAGAAGAGTCCAAATCCTATACGTAGAGCATTGAGAACAATTTGTCAATTATTAGACAAAATTTACAATCCTGGTGGCCCTCAAAACTAATGTTTGCTTAGCAAAACACTAACGAGACTGCAGGGAATAGCAGAGTTGCACACTACCAAGGCTTTTCAATCAGATCACAGGTTTTGAGTGCAGACAAGAGTAGAGCACACTACTGTAAACTAAACAATGAATTAAAAAAAAGATTATGAACTGTTTGGTTGAAGACAGAAATACCAGAGGACTCCAATCTTTCCCGGTCCGTAACCCCACTCAATATCTTTAGTGCTTTTTTCCAAAGCAGCAAACGAAGATCTGCACTTTGGGTTAAAGCACTAGAAAAGATCTGAATTCCTATAGACATGCTCAAGTGGGATCTTATGTGGAGGAGATTATTTGAAGAATGAGAGAATCCTGCTCAAGTAGGCTATCTACATTTGTTCATCAGGTGGTACACAATCAGGAATTCTTGGACTCAGTGCTTATTCCAGACGGAAGTGCACCCAGACAATTTTGAAGTATGCTCCTTCAAGAGGAGAAGTTCAAAAGAGTAGATTGTGCTCATAGAGTAAACTCCTTTTTAGATGCTAAGTTTACAACTATAACTTAAATATGCTATTCAAGACCCTCTCTGTGAAGGTGACTGCAACAGCTCTTCCACTACTAATATAAAAAAAGCCTTCATTTGGCAATACAAAATCTAGCAAACATTTCTTCCCAACAAACTATATTTGAACAAACATTAAGTTTAAAGACAGCCCCCCCATCGTGCTATTTAAGGTAAAGTGCTATTTAAGGTAAAATATGAGCTTCAATTCTATATTTACTTGCCGCAAAGTTTATAATTCACCAGTCGATACAAGTGGTGCAATTGTGAGAAAATATGCGATTTCCTATCAAATGTGTGATATTCTATTGAAGTACTGTATTACTAACAGATGGGAAATCCAGTAATACTGTAGCAGCTGCCTGCAGTCAGAACTAAGCTACGATTTCCCAGAAATTAGAAGTACTTGAGCATGAACTGAATATATGAAGTAGAAGGATTCAAATGATCACTTTGGAATTTAACTTAAGATAAATTGTATTACATTGTGTCACAGATCCACTTAGCTTTTTCAGCTTCAGTCAAAGATCGAATAGGCTATCACTTAAAAGTAAGATCCATTGGATCGTCTCCAGTCCCACTCCATCTGTATTTCTACAGTATAATTTCTCCTCAGCTTTCCTCTCTGGATCCCTTCAAAGTTGTTGTTCAACTTCTTTCTCCCATGAGGCCTGAAATTCCATATAGTCTTAGCCTGTCTTGCCACAGATTTTTTTTAAAAAGAAAAGTTCATCCTCCTTTTACTTTAACCAAGAAAGTTCTTAACTATTGTTTTTCTTCTTTACAAAAGTTCTATATTATTTCAGGAGGACAGGAAGTTTTAAAACTTTCATCAACTTAATGAATACAAGTTAAAAAGGGTATCGACGTAGCAAATTGTGTGCGTTAGACTGTCGCAGTGGACTTTGAAACAGAGCCTAAGGTGAAACTCCAATGCATTCCTGATGGTGTGTTGCATTGTCAGAGATGTCGTCCTTCAGATGAGACGTTAAACTGTGGTCCTGTCTGCCTGTTCAGGTGGATGTTAAAGATCACGGTGCTATTCGAAAAGAAAAGTGAGTTTCTCCCTGTATCCTGTCCAAGAATTCCTCAAATAGAATTGGTCACTCATTCCATGGCTGCTTGTATGCAACTGGGTAACTAATTTCGCCCACAAAATACAATCAATGCACTTTACAGTAAATCCTGTGAAGCACTTTGAGGTGCCTCGACAATGTGATAGGGTGCTATATCAAAATGCAAAGAGTATTCTTAAGTTTCTGACCCAGGTCAGTGTCATGATGGTAGGCGGCAAGCAAACACAAGGCGTTACCCATGGAGTAAAATAAATGGCATGTTATGAAAAGCTTTGATGTGAGATACAACCTGGAAGAGGTTGGGAACGGGTTGTCCACTTCACCTTCTTATTGGTCTGGCAGATTAATTTAAGAGGCAATATTAGAAAAAGGAATTTTCAATCAAAACTCAGAGACAAGCATACATCCACTGTATTTTTGTCGTATCATTTTAAAAAGGAAAAAAATAAATGTATACAAAATGAAAATTTGATTACTTTCTCTAGAACTCCCACCTGCGCCACTGCTGAACTTCTGACTGCATGAAAATAGTCAACAAGGTCATGAGCCTTTCAGGGACCAAAGTCTTTCATCAGACCATCCGTAAAACTAATAGTCAGAATACCAGCATCTCCCCTGGGGTCTCATGTGGCCTGTGTATGAACTCCACTCTACTCAATGCTGGTGTGACAGAGAGCAGAGCCCTACCAGATGGCAAATAGAACTGGTAATTCTAACATTAGGTATATCAGGCCAGATATACATAAGACTGTGATATTTCTTTACTACTTGCTAGCATTATTTATTAAAATATTGTCCAAGATCAGATAATGTTAAAATGACCTCACTTACCCTTTAATATAGACGTCACTCATCTCTTCTCCAGTGATGCTCTTTTCGTCCAGGATTACATCACTAGTATTCCAAATTATGCAGCGTAGCACATTCCTGCATAGATCACATTATCAACATGATCAGCAAGGTTGTAGTAGTTGAAGCAGACGATATCCAGCCCAGCAAGCTCAGTTAATGATCTGATAATTGGACTAGTCAACATTTTCTCTTCCTAAACTGATGAACACTTGCAATATTGAACAAAGGTTCGACCTTTTAAATACGCATTGTATCCAATATATACTAACAGTTAAAAAAAGAAAACTAGAGCAACTTCAGAAGTAAATTTTAAGAATATCACCCAACCTTTCTTAAATTTTTCCCCACCTCTTCTTAAGAGACCAATTCATTCTGGGGTGCAATTACATAGGCCGTATCTGGAGTAACACCATTTTGCATGTGTGAGCCAAGACAAAGCCATCACAGGTAAAGCAGAATATGTCTCTTACACTGAATAGCAATTTGGATTATGAATATTTTCTCCCTCCCTAGCCCAGGGGGCCTGGAGCAATTAAAAAAGAACATCCTTCTGTGTTTTTTCCAGCTGAGATCTGATAAAAGCACAGATCAGTGCTGAAAATCTGGGACCTGCTGGATTTGCACAACTGAGTTTTATTCCAGGCAGTGGACTTACCAACCAAGCTGTAAGGAAAAGTAAAGCTTTTCTTTAAATACTCATTGAATACCGTCCACAAATTATAATGAACAGGGAACCCCAAAGACATTTCATTAAAAAAGTCCCAATGATTAAAGGCAGTAAACACCATAATGGAAGCAACATGAATATTCAGGGGAGAGAGAGCAAGACAAGAGCAAAGTGTAGGGACTGAAATTATGCTTACAATGTGCCCGCATAAGCACACACGCAATTGCTATGTGTAGCATCAATTTCATTCACCTCCAAATTGTAACTACGCTTCACAGAAAATCTAGCGCTTTGAGACGCCCTCCAGATGTGAAAGGCTCCACGTCAAACACAAGGATTATAATAATTTCAACTTCTATTCACATACATAAATTAGAATATTTGCTAAATCTTACACAGCATTAATAGGCAAACAAGATTAAAAACACTCATCCTTTGCCCATTCTATTTAAATATAAATAGCATTTTATACCATCCCCTTCACATCAGTCAGCCTTCTCAAAACATGACATGATTTACTGTATAGTGCACTATACTGTACATTATACACTGCATGGCGTAGACAGAATTTTGAAGGCAAAAACATTACATGAGCTAACCAGCCGCAAATATTCATTAAAAATTGCTTCGACGTTGCTTGTCTCAATTACACTTACTTTTTGGGTTTTCTTGGAGTGATGTCAAAAGGTGGCCCAGGTGGACCCAGACTCTTTGGAAATATATCAACCCACATCTGGAGCTTTCCCTAATACAACACAACTTCAGAGAGTCAGTATAAAGGAGTAAAAGAAATGGATATTTTACATATAGTCATAAATTAATGCCTAGAACATGCATAAAGTAACACTATCTCCTGATTCCTATCTCCTAAGCTATTCATTTCACCTAGCAGTTCCTCAGGACACAAGATGGTTTGCTTTGGTACCAATATATTAATAAAAATAGGGATGAATATGGAAATAGAATTAAGAATTTATAGCTCCAGTGAAGAGTTAGCACAGCATGTACACAATATGGTATGGCATGATAAATGGGGTCTTCTTGGAGTTGAACTGGTGTCAAGGTGACATGCTTGGCAATGGAATGTCAGAATCGAGCCTGCCCTCTGTGGCGGTCTCGATAGTCTGGTTCCTGAGCCAGGCGGGTCCACAATATTTCAGGGCATTAAGCATGGCGATGGGTTCCGCATGTGTCAGACACCCGGCTAACCAAAAAACACAAAACAAAGACACAAAAGGCCAAATGACCTCTGAAACATATTCCTCTCTTGTATCTTATCCAGTGGACCTTAATGGAGAAGGGGTCGAAAGTACAAATTGGTTCACAAGAGGTTCCGATGAAGATCTTTTGGCCCATTTGATCTCATCCTTCCAGAATCCCCCACTACCATTCTTCTATTACAGCTTTAGGTTGTGTTTTAAATGATTCCTGGTCTTGGGCTCAACTATCTTGCCTAGTAATTCATTGCAGTTGTTAATTACCATTTGGGTTAAAAAATGCTTGCCGCCATCTATCCTAAAGTTACCTATTGCCATCCTGAATGTGAGCCCCCTTGGCATATCTGAAACATTATTCTGGATTTATTTGCTCAATCCCATTTAAAATGTTACACACTTGCAGAGTAACCACTTCAGAATCTATACCGTCATTGAACAATATCCAAGATATTATAGTTTATATTTTGTTGCAAGCCTTTTTGTGCTGGTCATTTTTCAATAAAAATAAATTCACTTACCTGGGGAAGATTGGGTTGGAAGCTGCTGAATAATGTTCTCATCTCTGTATGTTCAGGTACCAATCCTTGGAGTCTCAAAACATGAAGAGCAAGGCGCTCACCCTGAGGTCCAAGATGGTCATTAAGAGGCTGGTTATTTTCTGTAGTAGTTTTTTTTTTTAAAAATGAACAAAACAAATTAGATGATTAAAAATTGCTTGTTTATTCTGATAACTGTACATATGGTCAATATTTAGTAATACAATTTAATAGTGTGTTCTTATAAGGTAATGACTAGACCGCCATAGACTTAAGAGCTTCTGTAGAATACTCCATAAATAATGAGAAGCAAACAGATGTCACAAAGTGAAGGCAAATTTCAATCAGCTCTTTTTATCTATTGCTCATTTTAAAAAGAAATAGATCATTGTGCGATTCTTTTGAAAAAAGATGAATGATATTTTCTTTACACCAGAGATCACAGACTCCTTATAAAAATACAATCATATACAAGTTATCCAATTATATCTCTTCCCATTTTGAGATACGAAGACAAAATGTCCTTAGAAACAAAAAATTGGCAAAAAGGTGGACATAGAAGTAAAAAAATGTTTTGTCATGGGTATTCTGTAGTTCTAACATTTAGCATTTCCTAAGGGCATCTTGTTTTCACATTGTGTCCAAATTTCTACAAACACTAAAAACTGCAAGAGTTCATGCCCTTAATCGTTCTCCATGAACTTATTCTGACACTAATTTCCAAGAAAGCATCATTTCAACACGATTGCACTACTTGGCTTTATGCCACAATTCCCAAAACACAACTCTGTGCAAATGAGGTTCCCAAATAAACAAGATCTAGTTGCATACACTCCAGGAAACCACATATTTTGACACTAGATTACATAACGTTCCCTAGATTTATTACATTAAAAACAGCTGGATTACACAAACAAATCCAGAAAGTTGCAAAACTCAATACAAGACCATGAAACTTACACATTAGCACTCTTCTACATTAATATTCTAGATACTCTGCACAGACGAGAGACTCTGCACAGTTCTCAAGATCTTGCATTCCCTTTTATTCCTCAGTACAGTAACCATAAAATAGCATAATGCAATTTACCACTATTAAATGCAAAATGAATCTTGTGCTCTGTGGTTTACAATTTTCAGCAAGGGTCTGTGCATCTCTGTTCATACCCCAAATACCAGGAATTATTTACACAGCATATTCAACAGTTGGACCAGGATACCAGGAAGGTGATTGAGGTTGGGACACTAGTCTAAAAAAAGGTTGTTGTTGTGTGAAGACAGTAAGATCATTGTTCTGAAAAAGGTGAGTTCAAATCAATCAAAGAACTTTCTTCAACTAAACCTTCTGTGATCTTGGACTCCATAAATCCAATGAACGTTGGCAGTATATTTGGCTGCAATGGGCATCGGAGGAAGACCAAATTTTGCTCAGCAGATGTCCACTTTCCATCAAGGTCACTGGTAGCTTAGGAGATAGAACCATGGTGGACATTACCCTCCCAAGTCCAGGAGTCCTGAGTTTATTTGTATCACTCCCTGCTGCTGCTCTCAACAAATCAGTTAAGTTAAGATTAAATCTGCGACCTTTGTGGTATGCAAGACTCCAGTGGCATTTTAGCTGCTTAATGTACAATAATTTGAAGTGTGCGGGAGAGCTTAGTCCCAACACAAAACACACTTTCCTCAGCATTATTTCGTCAAATGCCAGTATTTTCCACTTCTACTAATGCTCTTCTATGGAAGGAAATGGTTAACTTTCCTGTACTTGAACACAGTTACTAAGGCAAGTAGCGCATTTATTTATATGGAACATCTGCAGCTTTCAGGCAGCTGCCAAAGCACGAGTTAAAATAAACTGGTGAAAGGAAGCTGCCCAGTTCATGGAGAGGGCAGAAACGATATAGTGCAGCGAGTCCCTGACACTTTTGCACACACAGGCAGAAAGAATCACCCCCAGCTGCCCCGCTACAAATCTCCCCCTGAATCAGCGAGAAGAAATGCTCTTCACAACATTTCACTCTCATTTTAGCACCCATTATCTCTACTTTTCATACTCTTTGGGTTCATTCCCATGTCAAACCCACCAGTCTAGCTTGTGCATTAGACCGCTCTCTCATTACTGCAGGAAAGCACAGTTTCGCTCTATTGAAATACTGATCTTCAAAGATTTAACTAATGCTTGGATTGTAAAGCATTTTAAAACACTTTGGAATTTTTTTCCAATTTTAAGGGTCAACGAAAGAATATACGAATGCAAATAACTTGGAAGCTACCACAATAGCATACGATGGAAAGGTAAAGAACCAACAGTCTAAAGTTACTGACAGGTTGCAAAACCACCCAGAATAAATTCCAAAAATAGTTTAAACTCATATCAAAGTTATGGCGGGTTCATAATCATTGTGAATGCAAACATGTTAGATATTCATATTGTTGAAATGTAGTATTTGAATACAATACTATACCAATAAACTATATAATTGGGTGAGGCAAGTAAAAGGCCATAGAGTTTCCTCTTGACCCCTTCTAACTCCTCCTATTGAGACTTTCACCAGCTGGAATGTTGCTATGATGTGCTGGTGATCCCAATATAAAGTTACTGTACAGTAATGGATAAATGCAGAATAGCCACGAGTGATGCACAGACAACACTTCTAAACCAATGCTACTATACACAAGTTTATTAAATCTATCAGAGGTAAAAATATTAAAATTATCCATGAAGAAAGTTTTTTTTAATATAGAACAGCATTAACAATGTGTACCTTGAATTAAAACTTCAGGTACATTCTTTTTGGTATATTTTATGCTCAAAGTTAAGGATGTCAGACCACATGTCACCAGCGCTATGCATTCCATGATCAGGGGTAGCAAAAGCTTTCATTACACAACCCCTCAACCACTAATTAAATCAGTCACTGCACCAGCATGACACTTTTCTACTTTGCAGCCATCCTCCTGATTGAGAAAAATGTGGCACATGGTCACCAGTAACTGTTAAGACTTCTCAAAACACACTCCACATAAAACTCTTTACACTCTGTACACTCTACAGCCAGATAAGACTTATCCCACATCTGGTTTGGATTGGAATCTAGATCCTAAAAGGTAAAAAGCCAATGACTCATTTTGTCTCACTTCATATGTGGTCCCAATTGTTATCTTTTGAGCTCCTCTTGAGGGTGCAGCATCAAAACATAGCTTGATTTCCCCCTACTGATCCAGCATGGGGTCTCCAAACAGCAATCAGGAAGAACCCTAATAGACATAAGCTTTCTTATCTCAACAGTGTTGAGGCAGTTTGCAACACCCCTGCTGCCCTGCTAATGCACGACTACATTTTGAATTTGAATCCATTTGTTTGCGTATTGGTTTCGGCAGAAGCACAATATCAGCAAAACAATGATACATTCATTCAAATTCTCTGTAGTCCCACCCATTGAGTACCATGGGAGAGAGCCCGTAAAGTTCAAGGCAAGTAATTTACAACTTTTACATGCAAATCCTACAGTTTGGCAGCAATAACTATGCATGTAGAGATATGAATATTTTTTTCTGGTGAGCAGACTTTCCATGACGTCTGAGGAAAATTTTGGTGACCAGAAAAAGAGCATGAAATAGCTGATGCTTTGGCCCCCAATATTTAGGCAAGTTTGGGCACCTTTTGAGGTAATGGCCATTGCATTACATTTACATTACAGCATTGGTGCCAAGTTGAGGCTTGGATCAGAAGCGCTGATGTAATGCAAATGGTCCACACAACACTGAACTCTTTATCTTTCGTAATTACAGATCGGGAGAGGGAAATCAGTCACTCTAGTTTTACATTTAAGTCCTACAAAGTCAGGTTCAGTAAAAGAATCCCAAGTTACAAATACTGGCAATTTTGGATTCTCAATTCATAGAACTGAATCATCTGTAACAAAATTGTTTTTACACAACAAAGTCTTGAAATGGTCGAAAATAAAAAGCAAACCAATCCTTTCTGCGCTCTCATTATTGCCCTCTTCTTTCCTCCCCCAATTTCTCTGCAGAGAGCACAATCAGGAATCCCATGATCGAGCCTCCATCAAGTTTAAGTTGCTGCTGGAAGGAGCATAAGAGTACCAGGATAACTCCCCCTTTCATTTCCTTTCCCACTGAGAAACGTCTACTACTTATTGAGACTGGGAGTTTACTCTGTTACAAATTTACCAATTCATGACTGTTGGTACAAGATCCAGGATTGCCAAGTACCCTCACCCCACCATTATTCCTAAATCAATGATATTGCTATGGCAACAGAACGGTTTAGACCAGATGAATATCAACCCCTCCTGCTGGACAGCAAGCAATTTGAACTGAAGCCCTATGTGAACAAAAAAAGTCACAGGCTTGGTTGGCACAGCTTTCTACTTCTTCCCAACACATCTTCAAAGAGCTGGCTTGGTCGGGAGCAAAAAGCAAGTCTTTGGAGGAGGAAGACTCAACAGAGCTCATCTGATGTTGTTAACATACGGACAAAGCTATCACTGATCTGCCCTGAACTTCACCTTTAAACTGCCAATGTATTCTCATCAAATCATGTATTTCAAATGATTTTGCATATGTAGCACTTGAAAATAAAATCTTCTAAGAGAACATTGGGTTTAGCATGAAAAGTGTACACAGTATTGGGTTACGTCCAGCCTAAGGCACTTAGCACTTGGGGCACACAGAGCTTTTTGCATGGGCTTTATTGAAGTCTTGCAGTATTTACAGTCAGCAATCGCTTCCCCCTCCAAGTTTCCACTTTTTACTAAAAATGTTGTTAACTTCAAAGAACTTGGAAGAAGTTAGGCTGATTTGAACCTGGACAGAAGTTGTCAAGGTTAACTATTTCACAACTCCTGGGAACAAGAGGTATTTATGCAGCCACCATCAATGCACCACATTCCCAGTGGCTGTAAAAGGCTTGGGATTTTACCTGTGTTACTAAGCTGCTTCTAGTATGAAGTGCAGAATTTTATTTTTTTGCAGGCTTATCTGTTCAGGCTGGTATTAAATTGCACACGTTTCTGAGACTTCATGTCAGAATGAGGATCTGAAATGAAGTGTCACTCAACACCAAAGTCAGATGTGGTTCGTTCCAATTCGAGATCTA